TTGATCGGGAATCGAACCAGCGACCCCTTGGTTCCTGGGTCGACGCTCAACCGCTGAGCCACACCCGGCTGGGCAGGTGCCATTTATTTCAATAACATGTGTTGGTGAATCATGGTATCCAACATCGGACCGTTTCAACATGCAATCGACACAGAAAATGATGGAGATGTTTACCTTCTTTTTTCACACTCGATCTTCAGAATCCAATGCGTGTCTTATGCCTGTTTTACGCAAATGGCAGCTAGAGCTCACGTCTTAGGGCAGCGGTTCTCAACCTGTGGGTCGCGACCCCTTTGGCGGTCGAACGACCCTTTCACAGGGGTCGCCTAAGACCATCCTGCATATCAGATATTTACATGACGATTCATCACAGTAGCAACATGACAGTTATGAAGTAGCAACGGAAATAATTTTATGGTTGGGTCACAACAGGAGGAACTGCATTTAAAGGGCCAGAAGGTTGAGAACCACTGTTTCAGGGCCCGGAGAACCCCGAGGCTGGCGACCATCATGGGGGACACGGGCCTCCGGAGCTCTGGGAAGGAAGCGAGAAGGTGGGAAGGCGGCCTGGGGGCAGACTGGGTCCTTTCGCTGCTAAGACACCTGAAGGAGCAGGAGTCTGCCTGCATCCTAAGTTTTGGGGAAAGAGATGGAAGAAAAGGGAACGAGGCTGGACACATTGCCTGTGAGCATCTTCGTGGTTCTGAGTCTTTGCACCCACCCTCTGAGGCAGCAGCCTTTCTTATCTCACGGCACAGAAACGGTTACTAAAATTCTGCGGCACACCAAAAAAAATATTATTATTATTATTTTTGCCGACCTGACCAAATAAATAGGTATTCTGACTCATTTACCCTGATCCGCTACTGTTGTGTTGGCTGTTGTCATTTTTAAAAAATATATTTTTAAAATATATTTTATTGATTTCTTACAGAGAGGAAGGGATAGAGAGTTAGAAACATTGATGAGAGAGAAACATTGATCAGCTGCCTCCTGCACACCTCCTACTGGGGATATGCCCACAGCCAAGGTACATGCCCTTGACTGGAATCGAACCTGGGACCCTTCAGTCCCCAGGCCTACGCTCTATCCACTGAGTCAAACCGGTTAGGGCTAAAATATATTTTTATTATTGATTTCAGAGAGGAAAGGGGCGGGAGAGAGAGATAGAAGCTTCAATGATGGGAGAGAATCATTGATGGGCTGCCTCCCGCACGCCTCCTACTGGGGATCGAGCCTGCAACCCGGGCATGTGCCCTGACTGGGAATCAAACCATGACCTCCTGGTTCATAGGTCGACGCTCAACCCCTGAGCCACGCCGGCCGGGCAGGACTCAGCATTTCGGAGACACACGCTCTCCAGTGACCTTACGCCCATGGCCGCCTGTGCCTCGCACAGTGGCTGCCATAGTCGGATTGTTATGTCCACGTAACAGATGAGGACATTGGACACCGGAGGTCAGAGAGCTGAGGGGCCCTTCCCAGGGCCGCCCAGGGGCTGAGGCTAATGAGCCCACTGAGGCGCAGCTCTGAATTATTGGTGAGGCAGGCACGGAGGCATGAAACTAGGAGGCCAAGGGCATGAGCAAGGGGCACACCATGCCTCTCTCCTGCCCATCAGCAGCCCTGAGCATCCCCCTCGCACGCCCCCTGCCGTCTGCACAGGACTTTTCAGCATCGATTGCACTTAACACCGGTTCTCAACCTGTGGGTCGCGACCCCTTTGGGGGTCAAAGGACGCTTTCACAGGGGTCGCCTAAGACCATCGGAAAACACATATATAATCACATATTGTTTTTGTGATGAATCACTATGCTTTCATTATGTTCCATTTGTAACAATGAAATCAGGGGTCACCACACCATGAGGAACTGTATTAAAGGGTCGCGGCATTAGGAAGGTTGAGAACCGCTGGCTTAGAGTAAGGCCTTGAGGTGGGCTTTATGCTCCCACATTTGATGATCGGGAGACGAACCCCCGTCTGACTGTGGTTTGACTCCAGAGCCGCAGCACCCCTCTCTCTGAGCGCCCGGCAACCGGGTGCCAGTGGCCGGTTGCCAGCCCCGACGCCCCCACGGCCTGGGACAGAGGGTCATCCAAGCGTTTGAACATCCTCAGCCCTAAGGGGAATGTTCCAGACGTGGGTGTCTGGCTATTAAGGCTCCCTTTACGGTTCAGCCACTGTCTTGAACTGCCTGCAGAATATTTTCTATTAATATCCACATCGTGATCCAAGCGGACTCATTACCGTCCCAGAACGTCAGTCCATATCGATTCCTCGCGTTTGCACAAAATCCTTTACAGCACAAAGAAGCGAGCCATGCAGATGGCATGGGTGGTCGTGGGGGGGGGGGGGGATGCATTGCAGGGCAGAGAGAAGCACAGGTGCAAAGGGCCTGAGGCCAAGTGAAAGGAGCCAGATGCAAAAAGCCACACATGGTGTGATTCCATGTACTTGAAATGTATATACTAGACAAGTCCACAAAGATTGAGAGTCAGTTCTGGGTTGACAAGGAGGGCGAAAGAGTGAATGAATGATGCCGCCTCCCCCCGACTATCCCTCCCGTGGTTTCCAGCTGCGTTGAGAATATAAAGAAGGCTCTGGCCAAAACCGGTTTGGCTTGGTGGGTAGAGCATCGGCCTGCGGACTGAAGGGTCCCAGGTTCGATTCCAGTCAAGGGCATATACCTTGGTTGCGGGCACATCCCCAGTAGGAGGTATGCAGGAGGCAGCTGGTCGATGTTTCTAACTCTCTATCCCTCTCCCTTCCTCTCTGTAAAAAATCAATAAAATATTTTTTTAAAAAAAATAATAAAACAAAAGGAAGGCTCTGCAGGGTCTGGCCCAACCCACCTCACCCAGCAACCTCTACTAGCCTCTCTGCTCCAGACCCCAGACACAGCAGTTCGACTTGTTCCTAGAAACACAACTAGCTCTTTCCCATGCCAATCTCTGCCCGGATGAGCCCTCGCCCCCTCCACACACGCCAGCTCCCCCCATATCTACCTCGTATTTCTCTGCTTCCAGGTCTCCGTTTACACATCGTTTTCCTCGACGTCCAGATCAAAAAGTAACTTTGCGCCCTTATTCCTTATCGCCGCCCCTGTTCTCAGTCTTCATGGCAGAGATCACAGCTAGGAGTTACACGTTTGTCTCTGGTTCATTCACTTCCTGTCCGTGTCCTTCGTAGACAGCCCAGTGAAGGCAGGGACCACGCCCGGTTCACACGCTGCTCTACACTCACCCTCGAGCCCTGCACCCCACGCAGTGGAAACGCTCAATAAACATCTGTGTCTGATTGAGACCATGAGGACACGCACCAAGAGAGAGACCCTACCAGCAGCGTGGAGGAGTGGACAGGGCAGAGACTGGAGCCAGGGGATCAGGCGGGGAACGTGACAACGGCTCAGGGAGAGATGGTAAAAGCCTGACGTTGGTCAGTAGCAGCAGAGGCAGGGAGGGAGGAATGGATGCCAGAGCTGTTCAGAAAGTAGAAGCAGCTGGGTTTGGTGACTGATAGGGCACAGGGAGGGGACAAGGAGAGCAAAGCCTTACTTTTGGGGTGATAGCTTGATAGAGTAGGAAAAGCATTGTCTTGGTCTTTTTCGGCTGCCATAGCAGAAATACGGTAGACCAGATGGCTTATAAACAACAGACATTTTTTTCTCCTGGTTCTGAGGCTGGGAAGTCCAAGGTCATGGCCCTGAAAGATTTGATGTCTGGTAAGAAGTCACTGTCTCCTTATTGTCCTCACAAGCGACGAGGGAGCTCTCCGGGCTCTTTTCTAAGGGCACTAATCCCATGCAAGAGGGCCCCACCCTCGTAACCTAATCATCTTCCAAAGGCTCTACTTCCTAATACCATCATCTTGGGGGTTAGGATGTCAAGATATGATTTTGGGGGAGACACAAACACTTAATAGCAAACATAATGCAATGAAATTAAATAAAGGGGGAGGGGTGCCAACCGGTGTGGCTCAGTGGTTGAGTTTTGACCTTTGAACCAGGAGGTCATGGTTTGATTCCCAATGAGGGCACATGCCAGGGTTGCAGGCTTGATCCCCAGTGTGGGGCATGCAGGAGGCAGCCGGTTAATGATTCTCTCTCATCATTAATGTTTCTCTCTCTCTCCCTCTCCCTTCCTCTCTGAAAGCAATAAAAATATTTTTTTTAAATAAATGAAGTAAAGGGGGAGGATAAGATATTTGGAGCTATCCATCAAATGCCAGATGTTGGACTTTGAGGTGCTTGATCCAGAGGGACATGTCCAGGAGGCAGTTAAAAAGGCAATTCTGGCCCTGACCGGTTTGGCTCAGTGGATAGAGCGTCGGCCTGTGGACTGGGGGGTCCCGGGTTCGATTCCGGTCAAGGGCATGTACCTTGGTTGCGGGCACATCCCCAGAGGGAGATGTGCAGGAGGCAGCTGGTCGATGTTTCTCTCTCATCGATGTTTCTGGCTCTCCATCCCTCTCTCTTCCTCTCTGCGAAAAATCAATAAAATATTTTTTTAAAGGCGATTCTGCCGCAGAATTTTAGTGATCAGTTTATGGCTGGACGTGTCTGTTCTGAACAATGATAACATTGGGCTGACATTCATAATGTGCTTAGCACACAGTAGGTCCCACGCCAAGCCTAGAGGCAGCATCAAACAGGGGCCAAGAGCCCAGTGTCCAGAGTTAGATTGTCAGGATTCAGTTACCAGCCCCACCACTGACAACATGCGTGGTCTTCAGCAAGGCTGCTTATGCTTTCTGTGCCTCAGTTTCCCCATCTGTGCAATGGGGGTAATCATAGAATCCAGGGCCTTGGGCTATTATCAGGAGTTCTGTGCGTGGAGCTCAGTGAGTATTACCTGTTCTGTTCTAGGATCCCAGTGAGTCATCATGGTAGATGGGATGGCAGGCATGACATCAAACTTGGGTGTTGGTGGAAGAGGAAAGGGACCCCCGGGTGCACAATTATTTTTCCTTCCGTCAATCCAGAAAGAAGAGGCTGGCCGAGATGAACCGATGGTCCACTTACCTGTTGGGATGGACCACCTTCCTCCTCTACTCCTACGAGACAAATGGAGGTGAGTGTCCCGGGACATGACGGGGAGGATTTGGAAACTGGAAAGGGTGAACGGGCCACAGTAACAACTCCTGAATCCAAGAAGGCTTGGTAGGAACCTCAGGCAGACCTGGGGCTTGGACCCGTCTGCGCTGTGTGACCTCGACCAAGCAAGGCAACCTCTCTGAGGTCACTTCTCAACTTGTTGAAGAGGAGCAGTGGCGTTTACTTCATGGGGCTATTTTTGAAAACTAAATAGAATAGACACAAGCATCTTTCAAGATGCTCAGTATTTGGTAGGGGGCATGCAATGGAATGCAAATACGATGTTCATTTAAAGGGGGGGCTCTAGCCCTGGCTGGTGTGGCTCAGTTGGTTGGAGCATCGTCCCCTTGAGTGTGGCTCTTCCACAAAATACCACGTGCGGGCGCGCATGTACAGTGAGATTGAAACTTCGTGGCCCATGCGCAGAAGTCGGGATTTTGTAGAAGAGCCACACTCAAGGGACCAAAAAGCCGCATGTAGCTCATGAGCCGCAGTTTGCCGACCACTGTCCTAGTTCATAGCTCGAAGCTCAACCCCTGAGCCACACCAGCCGGGTCCATGAAGTTCTTTTTCAATGATCACATTCTATATTCCAGAGATTCCTAACGTGGGGCCACTAGGCAAGCACTTGTGTCCATGAGACCCTGGATTTGTATTTTAAAAGTATGTATTTATTGCCGAACCGGTTTGGCTCAGTGGATAGAGCTTTGGCCTGCCGACTGAGGGGTCCCGGGTTCGGTTCCGGTCAAGGGCATGTACCTTGGTTTCGGGCACATCCCCAGTGGGGGGCGTGCAGGAGGCAGCTGATCAATCTCTCTCATCAATGTTTCTAACTTTCTATCCCTCTCCCTTCTTCTCTGTAAAAAATCAATAAAATATATTTGTTTTAAAAAGTATGTATTTATCAGGGTAGTGAGAACAGCTATTGTAACAAACTCCAAAGCATCAGAAGCTTCAACCAAGAACATTTTACTTCTTGCTCCTATGAAATCCAATGAGGGTGCATCTAGTTGGCAGGGACCCAGCTTCTTTTATCTTGGGGTTCCACCATCCCCAAGGACTTCAGAATGCTCTGTGGATTCTTTGCTGATAGACAAAGACCAAGAGAGTCTGGAAGACTTTGGAGGAAAGCCTATGTTTGGCCAGGCCAGGAAGTAACATCCATCACTTCTTCCCATTTCCACCAGCCAGAACTCACATGATGCTTAGCTGCAAGGGAGTCTGGGCAGTGTCATTCAGCAGCGCATTTGGGAGGAAAATGAAGCTGGTTTTGGTGGACACACTGCCGTCTCTACCAGAAGGGCATACGAAGCTTTTCCTTAGAGAGAAGGTCTGGTTTCTTAAAACAACAGACAAGTCCCCAAAAGGTTAAGAACCCAATTTATTCACACAGGGAGCAATGTGTTTGATTAAATGTCAGCCTTTTCACTTATGGGTCTCATTCTGGTCAGCCATGCCTTCCTGAGCGCACACCCACATTCTGGTGCTGAAACTCAGTACCCCCAAACCCCCTCTGCATGTATTCATAAACTCATTTATCCTGTACATACTTGTTGAATGATTTCTAAGTGCTGGTCACAATACTACGGGCCAGACACACAGCAATAAATAAAAGCCAGGCCTTGCCCTCGTCAGTTTGGCTCAGTGGATAGAGCGTTGGCCTGTGGACTGAAGGGTTCCGGGTTTCAAGCTCGATCTCCAGTAGGAGGTGTGCAAGAGGCAGCCAATCAATGATTCTCTCTCATTGATGTTTCTATCTCTCTCTCCCTCCCCTTTCCTCCCTGAAATCAATAAAAATATATATATTTTTAAAAAAGACCAGGCCTTATATTCAGAGAGCTCACAGTGAATAAGAGTGATAAATACAAAAGCAAATCATTATATTCTTTTAAAAATTGGTGAGTACATTTTCAGAGATCGGCTCAGAGTACTATAAGAGTGAGGAAAGCCCTAGCCCGTTTGGCTCACTGGATAGAGCGTCGGCCTGGGGACTGAAGGGTCTCAGGTTCGATTCCGGTCAAGGGCATGTACCTTGGTTGCTGGCACATCCCCAGTGGGAGGTGTGCAGGAGGCAGCTGATCGATGTTTCTCTCTCATCGATGTTTCTAGCTCTCTGTCCCTCTCCCTTCCTCTCTGTGAAAAATCAAATATTGAGTGAGGAAGAGTATTAATCCAGACTGGACCAAGTCTTCATGGGGGAGGAACAGGGGTAAAGCTAGGAAGAGAAGAAAGCCACTCAGGGCAGGATGGAGGCCATGAGCAAAGCCCCCAAAGGCAAGCAAGAGCGTGGAGTAAGGTCAAGGCAATGTTCATCAGGGCGAGAGAACAGAGAGGTCAGCGGGGCCTGGATTATGGAGGATTTTAACCCGGTTAAGAAGATTAGACCATCTGCCGGACTACTTTGCAGATGGCTAATAGGGTCTGTTACGTGTGGATTCTTACTCACAGCTCCCAAGGATAGCCTTAATGCTGTGTACGGGGGGCACCTGCCTGCCTCCCCCTCACCACCAGCACCCCATTGACCCAGTGCTGCCCATCATTGAGAAAAGTCACTGATGACCATGACAATGACAGTGATGATGACGATAGCTAACATTTGTTGAGCAGCAGCCAAGCTCCAGGCACCCTGCTAAGTACTTTCTAAATCTTAACTCTTTAAACTTGGCAAAAAAAAAAAAAAAAAAAAAAAAAAAACACAAGACCAAACAGTTCTGAGACCCAGAGGTAGGAAATGCAATATTGCTAAGGAACCTTAGTTGTACCCACCCATTGGGGAGGCTCAAAGATGGAGTTCTACCTTTTCCGTTCTGCCCCCAAAACATCCTTATCCCTGTCATGGTCATTGCCAGGTTCTCCAGGGGGAGGGTCTGATCCGGAACAAGAGGGGGCTACTAGGTTGAAGATAGGGGCTTGTGTCTTGTCCGCCTGTATGAGTAACAGACCAACTGTTATAACAAACAACTCCCGCATGTCAGTGGCTGAACCAAGTAGGGGTTCAAGTCGAACTCATCTGATTCAGAGACACCGGGTCCTTCTGCTGTGTGGCCCCACCATCCTGGGGGGTGGGGGGTCAGCATTCTCTACCAGCGCCTCTTTATCAAAGTTTTCAGCCTTGGCCCTACTGACATGGGGGGTGGGGGGGGATGGCTCTTTGCTCTGGAGGGCTGTCCTGTGCCTGGCGAGATATTTAGCAACATCCCTGGTCTCTACCCAGTAGTTTCAGCAGCACCACTGCCAGTCCCCCCTTCCCAGTTGTAACCACCGAAAATGGCTGCAAACATTGTCTAACATCCACTGGGGAGGGTCCTCATTGCCTTTCTTCTGTCAGCTGGCCGACAGAGGAAGACGGGAGCTTGAAGGCTTGCTTGGGATGTTATTTTTGTGGGGGGTTTTTTGAGCCAGAAAATGAACACCATTTCCGCCCAGATTCTATGAATCATCGTGTGTGAGTGTGTGTGTGTGTGTGTGTGTGAGTGTGTGTGTGTGTGTGTGTGTGTGTGTGTGTGTGTGTTAATCCTCACCTAAGGATATTTTTTTTAATATATTTTATTGGTTTTTCACAGAGAGGAAGGGAGAGGGATAGAGAGTCAGAAACATTGATGAGAGAGAAACATCGATCAGCTGCCTCCTGCACGCCCCCTACTGGGGATGTGCCCGCAACCAAGATACATGCCCTTGACCGGAATCGAACCTGGGACCCTTCAGTCCGCAGGCTGACGCTTTATCCACTGAGCCGAACCCGTCAGGGCACCTAAGGATATTTTTTCCATTGCTTTCAGAGATAGTGGAAGGGAAGGAGAGAGAGAGATGAGAGACACATATAGATTGACTGGTTGCCTCCCACATGAGCCCCACAAGGGGTGCAAGGAGTGAACCAGCAACCCAGGTAGATACCCTTGATCAGGAACTGAACTGTGATCTCCCGGTTCATAGGTCAACGCTCAACCACTGAGCTACACCAGTCGGGCAATAAATAAATATATATATATATAACTGGTTGGTTACATGTGCATATGGTTTAACTTTTCCAAGAATCAAGACATCCCCTCCTCTTTTGTCTTCTGTTCTTCAGATGGCCAGGCTCCGTGTGTCTTTCCCTTCATCTACAAGGGGTCTGTTTACTTCTCTTGCACCAAAAAAGGTAGCCTTTCACCTTGGTGTGCAACCAAAGCAGTATATGACAGACACTGGAAGCCATGCTTGATGGAAGGTGAGTGGAGCCACACTGTCCCATCAGTGGGTTTCTGTAAATCATGGGCTACAAAAGAGACAGTGTGCGTGTATGCATTTTTTGCAGAAGGGTTATCATAGACATGTGTGCACGGAAAATGCTCTGGGCAACTAAACAGGAGTGTTAATGATGGGTGATAATGTTCACCAAGATAGTGCTCTCTCAATGGACGGACTGTAACCAGTCGACCATTGTATTCTTTGTCTCTTTCTTAATTTTCTAAATTAATAAGAAAAAGAAAGAAAGGTTCCGTTTATGTTCTTTTTGCTAAGCCTCACCCAAGGATATTTTTTCTATTGGTTTCTAGAGTGTGGAGGGGAGGGATTGGGGCGGGGGGGTGGGGGAGAGAGAGAAACATGGATGTGTCTTTCTCACATCGGTTGGTTGCCTCCTGCATGCTTCCCATACAGATTACCCACGATGTATCTTCCCCTTCATCTATCGGGGAAAGTCCTACAGCAACTGCATCACGGAAGGCAGCTTCTTTGGAAAGCTGTGGTGCTCAGTCACCTCCAATTATGATGAGATGAAGCAGTGGAAATACTGTGCAATCAATGGTGAGGCACTGGAGCCAGGATGGGGTGCGCGGTGGAGAGGAGAGAGGAAGTCATTGGTCCTCATGACGGGATGGTGGCAAGGTGGAGAGCTGAGCACTATTCTAGGAGCCAAGGGTCTTCTTTTTTTTAATATATATATGTTTTATTTATTTCAGAGAAGAAGGGAGATGGAGAGAGATAGAAACATCAATGATGAGAGAGAATCATTGATCGGCTGCCTCCTGCATGCCCCACACTGGGGATCGAGCCCGCAACCCAGGCATGTGCCCTGACCGGGCATCGAACCCTGATCTCCTGGTGCATAGGTCGATGCTCAACCACTGAGCCACGCTGGCCAGACACCAAGGGTCTTCTCAGAGAGTACACGGTGACAAGCACAAGGACTCGTCAGACAGGCGCTGGTGAGAAGGAAAGTGGTTTATTCAAGAGCCAGCAACCTGAGAAGATGGAGGACTCTCCTCCCAAGGACCATCCCAACCTCTCAGTGCAGACAGAGGTTTTTACAAGAGAGAGAAAGGGGAAACAGAGCAAAGAGATCCAGGGGCGGGGTGGAGAGTTGTCTGTGGAGGGGACTAAGTTCTCACCAGCACAGTCTATCCTCGTTCGGTCCTTGAAACTGATCGAGTGAAACCCTTCTGGGTTTTTGTCATCCTAGTTTTATGTCATCCTGGTTTTACAGTTGAAGGTCAACAAATTTCCCAGCACTGGGATGACGGAAGGTCAGAGTCTGTTATCTTTTAAAGTTAGGTCCTGAAATTCTTATACCAACACGCTGATTATCTACAACTACATATTAGTCAGAGCCAGCATTTACAGAACAATGTCAAAAGAATGGTGTGGTGGGTTGCAGAGGTTA